GCTTCAACCTCTATCGCCTCAGCTGGGAATACCTTCTGCGAGGACAAGCTCCCCAAAGAGGTCCCGCCTGGTGGCACCGCTGGTTCGAAATCGCTGGCCAACTCTTTTTCTGGACCTGGTTTGGCTACGGTGTCGTCTACCTTAACATACCAGACTGGCCCAACCGGCTCCTTTTCATCCTTGTCAGCCATTCCATCACCATGCCACTACATGTGCAAATTACCCTATCTCATTTTGCCATGTCCACTGCCGACCTAGGCGTGCACGAGTCCTTCCCGCAAAAGATGCTCCGTACAACAATGGACGTTGATTGTCCGCAGTGGCTGGACTTTTTCCACGGGGGGTTGCAATTTCAGGCCGTTCATCATTTGTTTCCAAGGATGCCAAGGCATAATTTGCGCAGGGCACAAAGGCTGGTTATGCAGTTCTGCAAGGAAGTTGAAGTTCCTTATGCTATTTTCACTTTTTTCGACGGGAATAAGGAGGTTATAGGGCGATTAGGGGATGTAGCGAAACAGGCTAGACTATTGGCTGAATGTCAGCGGAGTATTGCTGAACAAGGCGGTGCTGGTCATGCCCATACCCATTAGTTGAGCTCTCGTTTCACCGGAAGGATCTATCCTTGCTTTCGACGTTGACCCACCCCTGTAACTGTCAGACTTTTTTAAGTCAGATTTATATACCTTTTAAATTTTCTTGCGTTGCCACATAATTTCCACCGCTCGGTGTAGGTCTTTCTGGATATGAGCATCTCCTTTCCAGTTCTCTCAGTTTTCTCCTGTCTTTCGACTCTTGTGTACTAGTACTATACTATGAAACGTCGTGTAACATTAACTATAATATGCGGGAGTGTACATACGAATTTAGATACGATGATATATAACGGAAAGGCACAAAACAAAACAAAAATCAAAAGTATATTTATTTTTAGATTCGTCCAACAGGTCACGGTGATGTCTCACCAGGTCAGTCGTTCATTCATCCAATTAGATACTCGCAGGCGTTTTCATCCAGGCTAAGCTTCTAATGATCAATATCAAAATATTTTAGCCCATTTCACACCAGCTCAAGCAATCCGTCACAGGCCACCTCTCGCCATTTTCTTCGCCCTTTGGTTCCGTCGATTATGGTTCGCCCGACTCGCCTTATTCGCATCCTTCCGTTGCCTCGCCACCGCAGTCCCCTGACCGCCAGGGTGAACATCTGCATTTCCACCACCACCACCGCCGCCGCCGCGGCGACCCCCTCCCCTCCGTCCACTTCCCCGCCATAATAGACCCCCCCTACCGCGACCCCCACGCCCGCCACCACCATCGGTCTCCTCCCCTTCCGTCCCTGTTCCATCCGGCGAGTCCGTATTAATCGGCCTCCTGTACGCCGTCGACGCAAGCTCCGGCTGCCAACTCTCCCTGCCGCCCGGGCCAGCGCCAAAAGCGAAGCTACGCTCCATCCGCGCCATCCGCTTTGGGTCGCGGGATAACATCACCGCCCATCCTTCAATCGCCTCATCGGTCATTCCCGTTTCCCTGCGCAGATTGGCGCGCGGCGTCGAGCGCCGAGTGGCCGCGTTGCGGGCAAACACGGCTTGGTTGGTTGTATAATGGGTGAAAAGAATGAAGTCGGTTTCGTTTTCACCCTGAGCTCGACGAAAGGGTGCAGTTTCGACATCTTCGTCGGGGTGAACTGCGTCAACCGTTCCGCCGACGTCGGCGACGTCATATGTGTCGTCGCGCTCGTCGTCGTCGGAGTCGAAGGCGGCCAGCGCAGAGAGGATGGCGGCTTTATTGACTGATTTGCTGGAAGTGGCGAGGAGGGTGTCGGCGGTTACGTGGGGGTTTGCGCGGCCGTAGTGTAGCTTTGAGGCCGGGATGGTTTGGCGGGTCAGCTCATCGTTGTCGAAAATATTTTTGCGCTGGGGGACTGTGGAGGGTGGAAGTGTTATTGGTGATGGAAGTGGGGATAGAAATGGCGACAGTGGTGGTGTGGGCTTTGGTGCAAGGTTGTGGTGGGGAGCAAGGTAGTCCTGAAGTTCCTCGGAGGGATCGAGGTCTCGAAGATGTGGAGCCAGTGAATCCTCAAGTAGATGAGAGATAACGATTTCGACGTCGTTCTCGTAGGAACCAAGGAGCTTGGCAATGAACCCCGTCCCCAGGTGCGGGAATAAGTCTTGAATTTGCGTTATCAAAGCCATTTTATGGACGTGCATGATTTGGTCCCTGCGTTCGGGCTTAATTTCATTTTCACGGCCTTTTCCTTTACCTTGTCTTCTTTTAACACGCTGATACCGGCTATGGAGAGAGCTACATTCAGCCTGGTACTGGCGAAGCGAAATCACAAGATTTTGTCCTCGCTTTGGGCCATCGTGGGCAAATACCGTTTCCATTTTTGCCAGTAAATTTGTACTGCACATTATGTCCGACAACAACGTCGGCTCCTTCGAGGTTCCCTTCTCATCCATCTTGGCAGCGGATTTCAGACTGAAAAGCTGATCTAACAACAGAGAAGTCGCAGGAGGATCCACTTTCAGCAACGAGGAAAAGGAGACATAAGCATTAGCCACAATGGTCTTATTGAGAGATACATTTATCTTATGAGTGCTTTGATAAGCATCAAATAATGCATCGATATAATCAGAGCCAGTCATTAGAACATGCCCGATCTGGGGAACTGTCAGGGCCAGTATTGTAAGAAGGCGCAGATGATTGTTCGCTCTTGTTATACTGTCTGTGGCCTTGGACGATAAAGAGAGAGCATTCATAACAAAAATTTTCCCTTTTTCGATGCTGGAAGTAAGCACCTGCGATTCTTGCATCCATAGCCGTGCTAAGAGTTGTTTTGTTGCGGGACTAGAAATATACACTTGACAGAAGGATGCAAGAAACTCCCAATCTAGAAGCTCAGGAGACGGCGGACGAACCTGCAACAGATATCTGCCTGTAAGAAGAAAGCAAAGACGTCTCAAACTTTTTATCTTCACGTCGGCATCAAGACCGTGGGGCATTGAAAGCCCTCCAATTGCCGCCTCCCGGAAAAAGGAGGCCAGGAACACACGGGCTGAATCATCCTTGGGTGTTGATGTTTGAACTTCATCCAGGGGAGACTTCAAGCACAATTCAAGCAACGTAACCCAGGCATCTAGACACGCCCCCCATTCCTCATTCTGAATGAGGTTCCGAACTGCAGCGGGGGGAAAGGGGGCGAAGGGTGGAAGAGCGTCGTGTGCCATGTTCAATTTAGATAATTTCCCCCCCTTAGAACACCACCCATGCACGCAAAGGAGACGACAAGGCGAAATCTATCTAGGAGAGGGAATATGTTTATGTTGATATGTTACCCAGGAGAGGGAATATATTTTATGTTGATATGTTACTCCGTACCCATGAATTAGTTGTGATTTGTCGAATCGAAAAGTTGAAAGGTTCGAAGTTGGATTAGAGTCATGATTAGTCAGTCATCGTCCTCGGCTTATCTAAGCGAGTGCCAAGACTTCTCCCACAATTCTCCCACTTTATCAAAATGAAATATTCTCGGATATTCCAACTTCAACATCCCCGAGTATCCATACCGCAGCAGCAGCAGCAGCCTTTCATCACCTTACCGAACTCCCATTGTTCAGGTCTTGATTGGCATCCCGCTGATAAAGTAACTGTGTGTTTAGTCCCGAAATTACACATTGCCTTCACACGACTCCACTAACACCAGCTAACACCATCCAGCAACCCCGTCACCATGTCGTTCCAGAAGCCCGAGAAAGACTTCGCTGAGGGTCCTGTAGGTGCCTCCGTACCTCCATATTTACTTAGCCCGCATCGCATTGCAAAATCTAGGAAAAACTAACTCCCAAAACAGAAGATCCACAAGATCCGTATCACTCTCACCTCGCGCAAGGTCGCCTCGCTCGAAAAGGTGTGCCAGGAACTCATCGACCGCGCCCGCAGCAAGTCGCTCAACGTCAAGGGCCCCGTCAGACTGCCCACCAAGACCTTGAAGATCTCCACCCGTAAAACCCCTAACGGTGAGGGTAGCAAGACCTGGGATATGTATGAGATGCGTATTCACAAGCGGTTGATCGAGTGAGTTTTTCAACCCTTGTTTTATCGGCTTAGCATCTGGTGGGCTTGTTTTGGGGAGTTGGAAGTGGAATTGGAAAGCTAATACATGGATCCAAGTTTGCACGCCCCCACCGAAACCGTCAAGCAGATCATCATCAACATTGAGGCTGGTGTTGAGGTTGAGGTTACCATTGCCGCATAAATGTGTAGCCTATAGTCCGTCCCAACAAGCGGTCTGGCTGTTGTCCCCGTAGTAGGGGACGGTTGACGTGGATTCGGGCAGGGATGATTTACTGAGTGTGATGTTTGATACTGGAACTCTTTCCTTCGAAAGGAATGGAGTTTTGGTATAGGAAAAAAGGGCCTTGTTTGTCCGTCTGTCTGGATGAGGAGGCACCATTTGTTAACTCGAATGTAAATACATATAGCCCTTGATCCACGAAAGGGAAACCAAAAAATAAAAATAAAAAAAAAAAAAATAATCAAAGGCTCGAACTTGCATACATCCACATGTAATATGAACGTTTCTTTGCTGTACTCTTGAGTGTCTTACCTTAGTAGAAAAGAAATGAATGCGAAATATGGCCGGCGATATGAAGCTGAAGTCTTGCGAAACAAAAATTCCGTTAACTTTGTCTACCACCATTTTCACAAAACACATGAGTTCAACCATCCATCATAAATTGATTGTCGATAGGAATAAATAATGAGAAATATTCTCGAAGAACCTGGCTCGTATATGTGTTAACGAGAAAAATGTACTATTCGCCGCAACTTTTTGACCACTCCATACATCCAAGTATATAACTAGCTATTTGCGAACGTGAACGAACTCGTGCGTAAACCAAAAACATCACTCCCCGGAAATTGATACAGATTTCCTAAGTTCACCTTCCTCTCCCTCCCAGAATATTTATACATGTCATATACAACACCTTCCATTCACCCCTAAAAATCAAATCCACACCACTCTGCCTTGGGTGGGACCTCCGGCACAAGCACCCCCTCCCCAAACCCCCGCTTCTCCCTCACAGCCCGGTAAACGGCCTCAATTTCCGACGTATATTCCTCCGGCCTTCCCACAGCATCCCTCAGCATCTCCGGCTGAGGTGGGCCATCGGGAAAATAAATGCGCACAAACGTCCCCGCATCATTTGGATGTTGGTAGCAAGGTTCGTCGTTTATGTATTTTACGACCTGGCCTTTCCAGGAGATGAGTTTTTTGGTCACGGGGTCCCGGCGGGTTTCGCCTTGGAGAAAAGGGAGCGGGGAGAGGTGTGATTTTGCTTTTTGGGGGAGGGGAATGTCGGCGCCGGTGCCAGTGCTGGTGGATTGTGTGGAGGATGTTGGCGGGGCGGAGAAAGGGTTTGGTTGCGTTGTGGGTTGAGCGGGGGCGCTTAGTGTGAAAGGGGAGGGCTGAGAAAATGAACTTTGAGGTTGAGGTTGGACCTGGCCGAAGGGCGTTTGTTGCTGTTGCGACTGTGGTGTGCCAAATGCATTTTGTTGCTGTGGCTGCAGTTGACCGAATGGTGATGCCTGTAAAGGCTGCGCTGATGGCTGGCCAAACGGATTAGGCTGTTGCTGTTGGTGGTTTTGCGGTTGTATCTGGGCAAAGGAGGGGGCTGTTCTGCCAAAGGGGTTCGACTGAGTTTGTGGTTGTGCTGTTTGGGCAAAGGGCGACTGGCCAAATGCTGGCGCTGGTGTGGAGGGCTGCCCAAAGGCAGGGGTAGGTTGCGAGCCTCCCAATGCCGATGGCTGGCCGAAGGCAGAAGGCTGACCAAATGACGGCTTTCCGAATGTTGGTTGCTGTCCAATCACAGCAGACTGGCCGAAAGGTGAGGGCGTGACTGACGACTGCCCTCCTGACAGGCCGAATGCAGACGTTTGACCGAATGCCGGCGCTGCCATCGCCGTGGTTGAAAGTTTCGAGAATGCAGAGGGCTGGCCGAACGGTGCTGACGAGGGCCCCATCTTCCCTTCAATGATATCGATACGGTTTGGGTGAGTGTTCTCTCCCTCTAAAATGTATCTGATGGCCCCTTCAGTATCGTTCAGGATGGTCTGCATCTGAGCTTCTGTCTCAGCGTAGAGCTTCATCGCATCTTGCATTGCTTGTTGAGGGTTTCCAGCTGCCGCGGCGGCATAATGTATCGCTCGCATTTCCTCAAAACTCTGCTCCCGTTCAGGGCCTCCAAAAAGCTGTCTTGGGGCATTTTTTCCTGGCCCGTAGCATGAGAAGATCCATTCCGGCCTCCCTTTTCCAGGGGTAAGGTCTGATTTTATGTCCTCGGGATTCAGCCCGTACCTATTCCGTAGATGTTAATGGCCGTATTGCAATAGAACACGGGCAATGTGCAACGTAATTAGTCAACTTACTTGTTATCCTTGATGTCGCCCTTGAGTCCACCTAGAATAGGAGAACTGTTAATATCCTGCATCGCCATTCCCAAAGCAGAAACCAAGACAGCCATAAATAGCCGATATTCCAAATACAACACTGCTTGGGGAGCGAATTTTCGACTCAACCACACCAAAAGCTTGCAGTGGGGTGTTATAAATGCTTGATATCATATCCAACAGAATCTCAATCTAAGCTGAAGCAAAGAATCAAAGAACAAAAGGAGGAATATGACGGGATATGGGGAGTTTTCAAGACAATTCCATTCGTCCGTCTATCCATTCATCTCATCTACTCTCTTCCAGAGAATGAAGACATGTGTGGGCATCAACGCCTCTCACTACATGGGGGCCAGCAGCCAGTGAATGTGTCAAAAGAGGGGCAGTGAAAAGCGAGGGACGAGGACTCGACACACGATCCCTATGAAATCATTCCATGGCATAGCTACATACCTCCAAAAGCCCCTGAGGCATATCCCGCGCTTGACCCTCCAGCTTGCTGGAACACGCCAAAACGGTTGCCCCCAAATGGCGACGCAGACTGAGCACCCGGATGCTCGTTCTTGCATCGATCTGATATCCAAATCAGCAAGTCTCATATGCTAGTGAATCAAGGAACATAAACAAGTCTAGAAGCCAAATCTCACCGCCAAATTTGCATCGGCCTTGTTGGTAGAAGATGCAGACAACCATGGTGACGTTTTTGCTTAATTCAAAGAACAAAAGAACAAGGACCTCCAAAAAAAAAGGTACGGTGTTTATTCAGGAATTTTTTGATATAATTAAACGGCTTTCCTGTCACCAGGAGAAACTCGGTTCTTGAATATGCTCATCCGTATTCGTTATTGCTGAGAACAATACGACATGGGAAGCGATGGTTTGTAGCGTTTGATATCGAGTGGACGCCCAATGAAGAGGGGTTTACCGAGTGGTTAAAGTATAGGTAGAATGATGTTTGGAGAATAATATTATTGGGTATAATATAATATGTCAGAGCTATTACGGTGCAGGATTGTGATGTGATGGATGATATGTACCTCTGATACATGGATAGAGAGGAAGAGAGGAAGGCGATGCAGCCGTGGCTGGAACTTTTGGACGTTTGGTGTTTGATTTTCATCGGCTCATACCAGATCCTCCGTAGGCAAATAACTGTATCTCTACCAACAAAGTGAAAAAAAAAAAAAAAAAAAAAATAGATACCTTTAACAAGAAACAACTAGATTTTATTCGAATTCTAATCTCACCGAGCGTATGATTATCCAAGCTTCCAGTTGTAGTAAGGCGTTCTCAAACCACATTGAAGGTAGATGAATCAGGCGCAATACCCCCAACCAATCCCTGTCCTGTCTGTTTAATAAACCATTAATTTGAAAAATCCATTCCATTCATGCCCACAAAGGACAACATCCAACAATATAAACGCCAACCGCCGCTATACGCCTACCGCTGAATGCTGAAACAAAACTTCTACTACCACGTAGGGAGAGATAACATAACACCCAATCAACTACTGCCCGTCCCCAGCAAATGGCCCTCCCAAGACTGCAAGTGAAGATGTCGGCCGCAGATTCTTCTTCAAATCATCCCAATTCAACCCCTCAATTTTCCTCCCGCCCAAGGCCTCCAAATCTTCACTCAGATTCTCCAGCTGCCCCGTTGCCACCCGCCGCATCATAACCGTATCCTTCGCGCCCTGCAGATGCTTGGCTTTGCCTTCCAACAAACACTCTTCAAACCACTTCTCCTCCTCCTGGTTAAACGGTAGGTTAATGAGATCCATCGCGCGATTGGCTCGGGTTTCACCGGGTTTACTCGACAGGACAAAGATGATGAGTTGTTCGAGAAGGTCGCGGTGCAGCGCGTTGTTTTGTTTGCGGGCGAAGTAGAAGGACTCTGTGATGCGGGTTCGGCAGAGGAGGGCGAAGTAAGCGTTCAGAGCCTTGGGGGATGCTAGTGGTGGAGAGACGGTGAGGTAATATGCCGTTGCGAGACTGTCATCTTGTTTTTGTGGTGGGAGGGTTGCGAGGACGCAGAGGATTTCGTCGGGAAATGTGGGGAGCAGGGAAGGAGAGGTTAAATACTCCAGTGCTCTCTGTTACAAGGTAATGTTAACATACATCTCGAAAAGGTATAGATACAAAAAATAAGACGCAAATCGACGAACCCTAAACTCCAACCTGTCCAGATGCCACAAACCCTCGACGAAGAGTCTGTATTTCTCCGGAAGATAGCAATGTCGCGCAAATTGCAGACTGACATCTCCACTGCCCATATTTCGAAAATCTCTAAGGATATAATATATCAACGCCTGTTTGTGATGGTTTGGAGAGGAGGAGGCGACGATTTGCGAATAGAGGCTGCGGACGGCTTGGTTGGTTTTTGGCGGGTAGACTCGTGAAGCTTTTCGCAATAACACAGAGAAATTAGAGAGTTGTCTTGCCAATACCCGGAGGGACGGAATAGAAATTGTTAGGTTATACCAGCATCTATCTGTAGAGCTTTAAGCAACCGGTCAACGAAGAGGATGTTCTCCAGCGCTTGTCGGTTGGAGAGGATTTGGTCGTATGTTTTAGAATCATAGGAGGCATCTCTCTTGAAGGAGAATGTGGAGTCGAAGTCCTCCCAGGGCGCCATAGCGAATGCAGGGTTTCTTGTTAACTGGATGCTTTTGCCTTGTGTGCGCAAGATGCAATCCGATTGACGCTGCCGACCTGCAACTGGTTAATTAAATTAATTGGAGGAAAAGTCGACGCTTGGATGACATAATCCGACAGCGCGGCTATAACTAGTTGAGTTAGTGGTTAATTAGCTAATGCAAATTTGGTTAAACATAAACATTCGCGTCCCTTTGACAATCCCAAAAACGCAACCGGCGACAGAAAGAGCCGCAACATCCTCAGCTCGACGTCAACGGCACCAGGAGCAAAAGACAAGGGATACCTCTATACCACGACAAGACAAGGACAACTCCTGCTTACAACAGGTGCTACTACTACTGCTTCATAGCATATACTCTAACGTCCCATCCTCACATGCCCACAATGGCATCCGTAGCTGGTTCCAGACCATCACGCCGCGCCTCCGCCCGCAAAAGTTTTGTCGTCGAAGAAAGCTCAGAAGACGATGCTGCGTCCATGGGCCGAGTCACCCCAGCCCTATCAAGCCACGATGAACAGGAGGGGGGGGGGGAGGGGGATGGAGAAGAGGAAGTCACACCAGTTCCAAAGCGCACCGTTGCAAAAAGACCTTCAAGAAGACGAACTATAGCCAATATCCCAGACACCCCGCAAACCGCCATACTAAACAAGAACAGACGGATTCGAAGACCAAAATCGGGAGATGATGTCGAACAATCTCAGCTTCTAGATGGGGTGGATGAGTCTACCCTTCTAGCAGAAAACCCCGAGACGCCTTCAAAGAGGCCAACCGCGCCCAGAAAGAGAAAGATGGAATCCACTCATCACCGCCGCGAAACTCGTATGTCCTCTTCTACATCTGCCATGTCATCCCTTCCAACTCCTGAACCTTCAGCTTCCCCAGACTCTCAGCCGCCTTCTCGCCGCCGTGAGAGCATTGCGCCACTGGCAGACATTACAGAAACTACAGTCAACGAGGCTGAGGCAACGCCACGACAAACCGGACCGGAGAGGTCGACGATTGAAATTATAAACCCCATGTCCACTACGCTTGAGAAACCAATGGACATCGTTCTCAAGTCACGGGCACTTGGTGTGCCAGCCGTTGAAGAACCATCAACTCCTAAGCCGCGAATGGTAATTACTCATCTTGTCATGACCAATTTCAAGAGTTATGCTGGCAGGCAGATCGTGGGTCCGTTCCATGTTTCTTTCTCGTCCGTTGTAGGGCCCAACGGATCTGGGAAGTCCAATGTCATCGACTCCCTCCTTTTCGTCTTTGGTTTCAGAGCTAGCAAAATGAGACAGGGGAAGATATCCGCACTCATCCACAATTCTGCCAACTTTCCCGATCTGCAATTCTGTGAGGTCGAGGTACACTTCGAGGAAATTATGGATCTCCCCGACGGAGGACATGAAGTTGTGCCGGACTCACAACTCGTGGTTTCCCGGAAAGCATTCAGAAATAATTCCAGCAAGTATTACATGAACAAAAAGGAAACCAATTTCGCAACTGTTACGGGATTTTTGAAAGATCGAGGCATTGACCTTGATCATAAGCGTTTTCTCATTCTTCAAGGAGAAGTCGAGTCGATTGCTCAGATGAAGCCAAAAGCTGCCAACGAACATGATGACGGTTTGCTGGAATATCTGGAGGATATTATCGGAACATCTAAGTACAAAACTCCTATCGACGAGGCTGCTGCGGAGGTGGAGACTTTGAATGAAGTTTGCATCGAAAAGAATACCCGTGTCCAGCACGTCGAGAAAGAAAAGGATAGTCTCGAAGACAAGAAGAACAAAGCTCTTTCCTACATAAGGGACGAAAATGAGCTTGCTGAAAAACAGTCAGCGCTGTATCAAATCTACATCGACGAATGCAACGATAATACCCGAGTGACGGAAGAAGCTATATTACAGATGCAAGAATTGCTGAATATGGAGCTGGAGAATCATCAAGGGAGTGAAGATGCCATCAAAGAGCTCCAACGATCCTATAAACGTGGTGCCAAGGAGTATGAGAATATGGAGAAAACTACTCAGACGATGGTTAAGGAAATGGCCAAATACGATAAAGAGATTGTCAAATTCGAAGAAAAACGCAAGTTTTTGATGGGGAAGCAGAAGAAACTCGAAAAGGCTATGCAAACTAGTCGCCTTGCTGGTTCCGAGTGCATGAGTCTTGTTGAGAAACACTCCGACGATATCGTGAAGAAAACTGCAGAAATCGCGGAACTGGAAAAGGAAATGCGCCGTGAGGAGAAAGAGCTCGCGGATGTCCGGGAAGGACTCAAAGGCAAGACACAAGGTCTTTCAGACCAAATTGCTGCTAAACAGAAATCACTCGAACCCTGGATTGAAAAGATCAACGAGAAGCAATCTGCTGTTGCTGTTGCACAAAGTGAACTTGATATTCTGCGCGAGAAAAGCAACGCAGGCGCTGTTGCTTTGCGGGAAGCGCAGGTGAAAATCGAGTCCATTGAAGAAATCCTGTCCAGCAAGAATACAGACCTGGAAAACCGCCGTGCTGAGAAGGCAGAACTTGAAAACGATGCTATGCTTTTGGAAACGGAGTTACGAAAGTTTGGACAAAAAGAGCCTGAAATCCGCTCGAGGATATCCAGCGCGAGACAAAAGGCAGAGGAGGCTCGTGCAAGCCTTGCTAGTACACAAAACCAGGGCAATGTTCTTGCAGGCTTGATGAGGCTGAAAGAATCTGGTCGAATCGAAGGGTTCTATGGCAGACTGGGAAATTTAGGGACAATCGATGAAAAGTATGATGTTGCTATTTCAACAGCCTGCCCCGCTCTTGACAATCTAGTGGTCGACTCGGTTGAGGTGGGCCAACAATGTATAGACTATCTGCGCAAAAATAATCTAGGTCGAGCCAATTTCATTCTCCTTGACCGATTGCCACAGCGAGATATGTCCTCCGTCTTCACACCGGACAGTGTACCACGACTATTCGACCTTGTCAAGCCTATCGATCCAAAATTCAGACCAGCCTTCTACAGTGTGCTACAAAATACTCTCGTCTCCAGGGATCTTGAGCATGCGAACAAAATCGCATACGGTGCGAGAAGATGGCGAGTTGTCACCTTGGATGGACAACTTATTGACGTGTCTGGGACCATGAGTGGTGGAGGTACCCGTGTTGCCCGAGGAGGCATGTCCTCGAAGCCAGTCGCGGAAGTTTCCAAGGACCAGGTCTTAAAACTGGAAGCCGACCGTGACGAGATTGAAAGAAAATTTCAAGCATTCCAGGAGAAGCAACGACAAATAGAAACATCGATAAAGGCGAAGAGGGATGAGATTCCAAAACTGGAAACCATGATTCAAAAAATTCAGCTGGAAATTGAAAGTACCACTCGAAACCTTGCGGATGCTCGGAAGCGTGTTCAGGAGTTGGCGGCAGAACACAAACCTTCTAAAACAGATGATGCTAGATCTGTGGCCCTTGAAAAACATAGATCCTCCTTGCAGAAAGAGATTGAGAAGCTACATGCTGAGACTGCGGGCGTTGAGGAAGAAATTCAAGCTCTTCAGAATAAGATTATGGAAGTTGGTGGTGTTAGACTCAGGAGCCAAAAGGCTAGAGTTGATGGCCTCAAGGAGCAGATTGATCTCCTCGCGGAGGAAGTGTCAAATGCCGAAGTTTCCAAGTCCAAGAATGAGAAGTTGCGCATTAAACATGAGAAATCGTGTGCAGATGCGGAGGGTGAGCTTGAACAGGTGAAACGTGATCTTGAAAAGTTGAATCAGGATATAGAAAGGCAGGAAAACGATGTTCATGGGACGAAGCAGAAAACGGAGCAGGCACAGGAGGTTAGTATACTTCCCACTTACTTAACATGGGACGGAAAATTACGTCTGCTAACTTCCAATATAGGCATTGGAAACTAAAAAGGAAGAGCTCGCTGCGTTGAAGGCGGAATTGGACGAGAAAGTCGCTGAACTGAATGAGACGCGCGCTTCTGAAATCGAAATGAGGAACAAACTTGAGGAGAATCAGAAAGTTCTTACCGAGAATCAAAAGCGTGGAAAATATTGGCAAGAGAAGCTGGCCAAACTTTCCTTCCAGAATATCAGTGACCTGGGCGAAGAGGAAGAAGCTCGGAGCCTTCCAACGTACACCAAAGATGAGCTGGCCGATATGAACAAAGAATCCCTCAAAGCCGTCATCGCGGCACTGGAGGAAAAAACCCAGAACGCCTCCGTCGACCTCTCCGTCCTTGGAGAATACCGTCGGCGAGTCGCTGAACACGAATCCCGCTCTGCCGATTTAGCAGCTGCACTAGCAAACCGAGACAATGCCAAAACACGTTTAGACACGCTCCGCTCGCTCCGTCTAACCGGTTTTATGGAGGGGTTCAGCACCATCTCGCTCCGCCTCAAGGAGATGTACCAGATGATCACGATGGGAGGCAACGCAGAGCTGGAGCTTGTGGATTCTCTAGACCCATTTTCTGAGGGGATATTGTTTTCTGTCATGCCGCCAAAGAAAAGCTGGAAAAATATCAGCAATTTGTCTGGTGGAGAAAAGACGTTGTCGAGTCTTGCGCTTGTGTTTGCGTTGCATCATTATCGGCCCACACCATTATATGTCATGGATGAGATTGATGCAGCGTTGGATTTTAGGAATGTGAGTAAACTAGACTAAAAGAAAGAAATGGAGGGAAAGAGTCACTAACTTGTTCTATTCCAGGTTTCTATCGTCGCATCGTACATCAAGGAGCGAACGAAGAATGCCCAGTTCATCGTTATCTCGTTGCGAAATAACATGGTACCACCCCCCAACACCCCGCCTCCTCTGAACCTTTCGTATAGAATAACCCGTTTTCTGACTTTGCAATTTTTAGTTCGAACTTGCTTCCCGACTGGTCGGCGTTTATAAGGTCAACCATATGACCAAAAGCGTCACCATCGAGAATAAAGACTACATTTCGATGGCAAGTTAGGGAAGATATGTTGCAATTTGGCATTCATCATTCTATTTTT